AGTAAATGCAATCAGTAAGTTGCTACTGCTGTCTTGCAAACACTGTGAAGATATGCTGAATTCAGAACATTCATCAATTTATTTTAAAGCAGAACTCCATGTTTAAAGAAAAAAATCACCCATCAGTAGTGAAGCAGTTTTTGCTGCTATACTCACATTCAATCCAGTGCTGCCCCTCACTTGTCCACTAGATGGCACTGGTTTCCCGAACTGAATGATGGTTGATGGCGTTCAAGCTACCTTCTGTGAGCCCAGGCTGTCATAAACACACCCCCTGGGCTCACATTCCTGCTTCAGTCTTTCTAAAGAAGAAGAGGCACTTCCATTTTCATTAGTGTATTCTTGTCAGGGTAGGAGCTGTGGAACGGACAGGCAGGCCTAATGGCAGGGTCATGCACCGACTGACGACAACCACCACCCACAGACCGGAGTCCCTCAGGGCGCGGAGTCTAAGTCCCAGGCTGCCCTTCACCAGGGCCCCTGATAGTGGGGATGGACTTGATGCAGCCAGGAACCAGGTCGCGGCCCCCGAGACACCCCAGGTGCGTAATGGCCGCCGCCAATGGCGTATAGCTGGTAGGAACCAGAAGACAATAGCATAGTCGGGCAGGCCGGGTCGATAACAACGGGACAGACAGTACAGAACGGTAGACAAGAATAACAGGTCACAAGCTGGGTTCAGCAACGGGAGGTCAGATAAAGGGATAACGCAGAGAATAGTCTAGTCAAAGGCCGAGTCAGTTTCCAGGAGAGCCACGAGAGTAGAAACAGAGCTTGTTGCAACACAAACATACAAGACACGAATGCAAAGGGCACGTGCGAACAACAGGCTTATATGTGATCAACCACACCCCTCTGGGGGATGGACCGCAGAGGCTTGAAGGCAAAAAAGACTCCCACCATGCTCTGCAGAAATCCAAGATGGATGCCAGCACATGGAGCAGTATAACCTCTGGGAAAAGGTAGGACCTTGACAATTCTGTTCCCTGGGGACAAATTACATGTAGTGCATTGTCCCATTTTCCTATATGCTGTCCAAAGCTAGCTGTGAGTTCATCAAACATAGTAGAGTGCGCAGACTAAGTGTAGTAGATATTACATTTAATAAAGCAATGACAATTAGCAACTCACATAAGAATGAATGTAAAATGCTTGTCATTACAGTAAGGAAGGGGTCTCGTCCAGAAAAGGAGGAGTAGGAACAATGGCAGAAGACACACCTGTAGTAACTGGGAAGACAGCAAGAGTGCGCCAATCTAAGTGCAGTGGGTAAGGGATGCAAATTCACACAAAGCAATTGGCAACTGGCTCGGATAGTGTAAAGATCGCTTGTATGTAGTCCTAAGAAGGTTTTGTCCCAGGTCAGCCTGCTTGTAGGCAGGTGCAGTCTACAGTTTCCACTGCAGGTGGTGTTCATCTGAAGCGGCATTGCAGGTGGAGGTTTCTCTATGGTTCCCTTAGTACCCTGAAGCAGAGATCCAGTTGGATGCACTGGATCCAGGTAACCCTGGTGGCCATCTTGGGTCATACACAGTCTTTTTAAGTCTCTGCCCACAAATTTTGGCACGCTTTCTGTGAGTAGCTAGTGAAGGGATAGGATACCCGTCTGTCAGGCACAGCACGAGTGGTGAGGAAAGGTTCCCAAGGAGTAGGGAAAATGTAGGGCCTACATCTTTTTCTGTAGTAAGCTTCCCTTTGAGTTGGACCAGCCAGGCTGTTCTCCTTGGTAGACACTTTCTGCAGCTTGGGTCTACTCAGCGCAGATTCTTTTCTGAACTGTAATAAGTGTCGCGGTTGGGTGAGCCTCCTCACTGGCTTGTTGTGCTGTTTTCCAAGCTTTTCAATACATAGTTTCTGACAATCCAGGGTTCTGTGTGCTTACTGCTGCTGCACCACACTGCACCTATCCAACATGCTGCTGTTGTTTCTGGATCAAAGGGGTTAACACTGCTATTGGGAAGTGGTGGTATAGTGTCCTAAGAGACCAGGTAGCCCTGGGGAGGAACCAGAAAGCAGCACACTGAAATCAATGGCGCACAAATGACTAAACCGGGAGTGCCGTCGGTGGGCATGGCTACATGTTTTGAGGCATTTCTGGCCTCTCTCAAGCCAGCAAGCTGTGAGTTCAGACAGGGCTCTCCTCCTTCCTCTACGGCCATCAAACAATGCAGCTAGCAAGGAGATATCTACTTTGACAGACAGAACTTTTTTGTTATCTTCAAGCACTTGCCCAGGACAAAACGTCTCATGAGGAATGCAGGGCTAGGGGGGTACTTGTTGTATAAAATGTTCCAGAGAAATGAGAAAGTGCTTGTAGACACAGAAAAGGGCTGTCTGTCAAAGCGTCCAACTCCTTGCCAGTTGCGTTGTCGGGTGGCTGTGGAGGGAAGAAGGGTGCCCTGCCTGACCTTGCAGAGGCAGCACAAAGGAAGATGGGGCAAAGTCCTACAATAATAAAAATGGGAAGTGAAACTACTTTAAATATACAACTTTGACTAAAAAATAATCCACAAAAATCCTTAGGGTGACAACCGTCTCACAACTGTGCTCCTGTTTTGTCATCCTGCCACCTGGCAGGCATTTATTGATTAATTACAGGTACTTATATAGTCAGCTTACGCAGCGCTTTACATGTATATATTGTACATTCAGTACCTGCCCTCAAGGAGTGTACAATCTTGAGCGTACAAGGTCCCTAGCTCACAATCATACATTATATTGGCAAAAGTATTGGGACACCCCTTCAAATCACTGCATTCAGGTGTTCCAATCACCTCCATGGCCACAGGTGTATAAAATCAAGCACCTAGGCATGCAGACTACTTCTACAAACATTTTTGAAGAATGGGTCGCTCTCAGGAGCTCAGTGACTCCAAGCGTGATACCGTAATGGGTTGCCACCTGTGCAATAAGTCCATCCGTGACATTTCCTGGCTACTAAATATTCCACACTCAGCTGTTAGTCGGATTATAACAAAGTGGAAGTAACTGGGAACAACAGCAACTCAGCCATGAAGTGGCAGGCCACGCTAAAGACCTCCAAACTTCATTTGGCCTTCAGATTAGCATGGCAACAGTGCATAGAGAACTTCATGGAATGGGTTTCCATGGCCGAGCAGCTGCATCCAAAACTTACATCACCAAGTGCAATGCAAAGCATTGGATGCAGTGGCGTAAAGCACGCCACCACTGGACTCTAGAGAAGTGGAGACGTGTTCTCTGGAGTGACAAATCACGCTTCTCTGTCTGGCAATCCAATGGACGTGTCTGGGTTTGGCGGTTGCCAGGGGAATGGTACTTACCTGACTGCATTGTGCCAAGTGTAAAGTTTGGTGGAGGGGGGATTATGGTGTGGGGTTGTCTTTCAGGGGTTGGGCTTGGCCCCCTAGTTCCAGTGAAGGGAACTCTTAAGGCGTCAGCATACCAAGATATTTTGGACAATTTCATGCTCCCAACTTTGTGGGAAGAGTTTGGGGATGGCCCCTTCCTGTTCCAACATGACTGCCCACCAGTGCACAAAGCAAGGTCCATAAAGACATGGATGAGCGAGTTTGGGGTGGAGGAACTTGACTGGCCTGAAATGACCTCAATCCAGTAGAACACTTTTGGGATGAATTAGAGCAGAGACTGTGAGCCAGGCCTTCTCGCCCGACATCAGTGCCTGACCTCACAAATGGAAGAATGGTCAAACCTTCTAATAGACACACTCCTAAACTTTGTGGACAGCCTTCCCAGAAGAGTTGAAGCTGTTATAGCTGCAAAGGGTGGGCCCAGGGGCGGACTGACCATTTGGAAACTCAGGAACTGCCCGAGAGGCCAGGGTCAGTAGGGGGCCCCATGAGATGCCCCTGGTACCTTTTTCATAGGCTTTTTTGAGTTTGGGCAAGGACACAGGGGCCTCATGATCCCCTATTGCCCGGGGTCCCATGAGTTGTCAGTCCGCCCCTGGGCGGGCCAACTCAATATTGAACTCTATGGACTAATACTGGGATGCCAATAAATTCCATGTGCGCGCAAAGGCAGGTGTCCCAATAGTTATGGCAATATACTGTAGATTGCAGTTCTATGTTTGAGGACAACATCTTTTTAGCAAGGGTGCTACATGTGGTTTAGAAGAGTGGGGGCTGTTGCCATAGAGAGGGATATTTTCTAATTGCTTATTTCTTGTGTTTAAACACACTGATTCAGGGCTTTGAAAGGTCATCAACCAAGAAATCTCAACTGGTAGATTGTTCTGGATTCCCCTGGGGACAGCAAGAGTAAGGAAAAAGGTTGTATTGGCAAAACTGCTTAACTTGAGTGCATATTAGCAGTTGTGTGACAGTCAGGGAGCGAGTATTTTCTGAATAAGATCCATGTTGGCGGTTCCAAATTTCTCCCACGACTGGTTTCTTCTAAAGCAGCCTTTCTCAACCTCTTTTTCCTAGAGGAACCACTAAAATAATTTTCAGGCCTTGGGGGAAGACCTTACTGAAAACAATTAAGTGGAGGTCAATGGGAAAAATGCCCCTTACTATTGTGGTCAGTAGGAAGAGTTGCCCCCTACATTGGTGGTCAGTAGGAAGAGTTGCCCCCTACATTGGTGGTCAGTAAGAGGAATGCCCTCAGTGGTGGTCAGAATGCCACCCCCACCTACAGCTAAGAAGATCATTGTCATCATGTTGTTGGCTCTGCCAAGTGGCACTGATCCTGGAACTATGTAGGCACCATGAGGAGCTCAATCAACCACAGCTCAAGGAACACCTATCAACCTCTAGAGCAGGGGTGTAAAACTGGTGGCCCTCCAGCTGTTGCCAGACTACTAGTCCCATGAGGCATTGCAAGGTTGACAGTTACAAGTATGACTCCCAAAAGCAGAGGCATGATGGGACTTGTAGTTTCGAAACAGCTGGAAGGCCACCAGTTTGACATACCTGCTCTAGAGGAACCCTGGTTGAGAATGGCAGCTCAATAGAATGCTCTGTGGATATTCTATTCTATATTAGTCTTCTATGGATTACCTGGAATCTGTACGGGGAATCATCTGCTCTCAGTATGAGGTTCCTGGGGTCTTTCAGGGGATAGATGTATCCGTACTTCACCAACAAGTTCCCGAGGTGCAGAGACTCTGTGAAACAGGGAAATGGATATTCAAAGCATAATAAACATATTTGAGATCATTTCAATGAACAGATTATTCGATCCAAACTGAAATTTGGTTGCATCTGTAACTATAGTGAACATATGGTGATACCCTAACGGCTATGTTCAGAAATCAGTAAATTGATTGATGTTTGAGGTTTTTAGTGAAGGTGGGCTAGAACCACCTTAGTTAAATGTTGAATGTATAGTTTTGATGCACCAAGCAGGTCTCCTGTGTCCAGTCTCTGGATACCAAGCACATGATATAGCAGGTTTTCTCATTACACATACAGAATAGGCTCCACATCTTCCCTAAATGGCTGCAGGGAGATTGTGACACACCACTTATCTCCCTGAAAGTTTATCAAACAGAGTCTGTCTTAGGAGCAATTACCTTCAATGCGTTTAGGGGACAATGCGTATTAGTAGTATGTGCGGTATTGCACATGACTATACATTGCATAGTCATTCATTTTGAATAGCACCCCAAGGCAACATGCTGCAACACATGGAACAAACATTTTGTGACATGCCCAATTTTTTGTACATTTAATAATTTCTATTGGCCACAGTGCAGTGCAATGTGGGGAACTGCATTGCTCCAAGCTGCACTGAAAAAAAGTTCTGCATGATAGGAAATGAGGCTTTTGCATTGATTTGTGCTGGGACTGTGCCAGGTTTTGATACACCTTGTGTAAATGGGCCCAAATGTTGCTTAAGTGTGGTAGAAGAAAAAAAAAAAGGTCTTCTGCCTTGCCAGACAGAGTTGTGCTGTGTGACGGCAGAGCTGTGAAAATCTCAGGAGTGGATGGACAGACATACAAGTCCTCTGAGAGGTTAAAGTGTTACTAAACCCAGGACCCTGCATTCACTATATCCGGTCTCCCCGGACCCTGCATTCACTATATCCGGTCTCCCCGGACCCTGCATTCACTATATCCGGTCTCCCCGGACCCTGCATTCACTATATCCGGTCTCCCCGGACCCTACATTCACTATATCTGGTCTCCCCAGACCCTGCATTCACTATATCTGATCTCCCGCACCCTGCATTCACTATATCCGCTCTCCCCGGACCCTGCATTCACTATATCTGATCTCCCGCACCCTGCATTCACTAAATCCGGTCTCCCAGGACCCTGCATTCATTATATCTGGTCTCACCGGACCCTGCATTCACTATATCCGGTCTCCCCGGACCTTGCATTCACTATATCTGGTCTCCCAGGACCCTGCATTCACTATATCCGATCTCCCCGGACCCTGCATTCACTATATCCGGTCTCCCCGGACCCTGCATTCACTATATCCGCTCTCCCCGGACCCTGCATTCACTATATCCGGTCTCCCCGGACCCTGCATTCACTATATCCGCTCTCCCCGGACCCTGCATTCACTATATCTGCTCTCCCCGGACCCTGCATTCACTATATCCGGTCTCCCCGGACCCTGCATTCACTATATCTGGTCTCCCACAGTACACAGAACATGGAAATGCAATTATTTTTAGTAAATATAAACTGCTAAATACCTTTTCTCATCAGCATTAAATAGCAGTCTTGTGACTTCAGCGGAGCACTGGTTAAAGCTTGCAGGAGGAGTTTTCTTTCTGCTCTAGGAGGATGTGAAAAACTTGACCCTCTGTCTGGACAGTGCTGATCACATTCACTCTCCCAAGAAAAAAAAACACCTCTCTAGCAATAGACACCAAACTGAGCATGTGCACATGACCACAGGTTCAGTCTGCATCAGGTCATCATTTCAACAAGAGAAGGGGCAGAGAAGACAGGATCAAACAGCCTTTTTACACAATGCAGAGGATTAACCCCTTAGGTTCCACAGTGAGTATAACAAGCATGCTTTACTGCATCTACAGACTGATTGTACTGTTGTGGGTTTAGTAACACTTTAAACCACTCCCTGATATGTCTTTTATCCGTGTATTTATCCTGACGTTCAGCACTTACATATTTGCCTGGAGTCCTGCAATAATAAAAAAGTTAATTAAAAAGTAAAAACATTTAGGTGGTCTCACACAGGTCTCCCCAGCATTGTTACCTTCATGTAATATTAAAGAGCCATCATAACATCAGGCTGCCCAGCAGAGCACACATTAGCTGCTGGTGCCAATATTTGTGCCCCCGCATAAGACGGATGGTGGGGGCCCTGAGCCGTCTCTTTCACAAAGATGCTTAACGCGCTGCCAGTGGCGTCGATGAGATGTTGTTGTCCGTTTTGTTAAAAATATACATATATCACTGCTAATGAAATATGGATTGGGTGTATTATTGCCTGGAAGAAAGACGTTTTCCTTTCAGCTGTTCTCAGGACTGCAAATCTTCTATAATTGTGTTTGCAAAGACGACTGGTCACCTACACACAGCTAAATAAGATATCCGCTCTGACAGCAAACAGATAACGGTTTTCTTGGCTTGGACTTCCAGTTGCATCATTTATTATGCTTGCCCTTGTAAAGGGACGGTGGAAGTGAAGGGGTGACAGCTGGAAACAACATCTGGCCCGACGGGTAGACTCCCTCCCATTTGTGTCTCGCAGACTAGCGGCGGACAGGACCAGCAAACGAATAACACAGAAAAGTGTATGCCGTATTAACCAGCCTGGCGGTCTAACTAATCAATATTTTTGAATGTCAAAACGGTACATTGTTTTTCATGGAAATTTGTTGTTTTATAGTGTAGGCCTGTAATTCTTAGGAATAACTCACTGAAATCTGTCAGAACAAGAGTCTAGTAAACATCCCGGGTATGATAACGTTTGAAACACGAAATCATAAATTATAATATAATAAATAATCATAAAAAATAATAATATAATAATAATAATAAATTGAATTCAATAATATAATCAAACCAAAAACACTGAAATTTCAAAGAGAGCTCCAAGTTCACACATCGCTGAATCGTTTTCAGTGTCTGATGACGAATTTCCCCCACGAATCATTATCACTCAATTCTGCAAGTGGTTCTAATTTACTATCGCTGTTCTCTAGCCGGTCTAAAACAGCTTTTGACCTAAAGGGGTTTATTTACTAAACCTGGTTGACTCAGAATCTTGTCCACTTCTGTATAAAAACCAATCAGCTTCCAGGTTTTATTGCTGAAGCTTAACTGAACATGCTGAGGTTAGAAGCTGATTGGCTACCATGCACAGGTGCCCAAGATTCTGAGTCAACCAGGTTTAGTAAATAAACCCCAAAGGGACGGTTTTTGGATGCCATGGGCACTTCTCAGTTTCCAGGCAGAAAGAACGGTAAAAGTGCAGACTGGACAAAGTCAAAGTCAAGACTCGGCAGTCTTTCTTCATCTTAAGGATGAGACATTTTTTTGGAGGCTGGTGAGGTGCACATTGTGGACAGAGAGGACAACTGGTTAGCAGAAGATGTGAAAGATACTATCAAAATGAAACAACCATTCCTAACCAGGTGTGAGGGCCTTCAACACCATCCATCTTCCACATATAATGCCATTACACCATCTCTGTGACACCTGTAGGTGTGAACCAAACCTCACACATTGAAGTGTATTTTTTCTTTGGAGGTGCATGTAACTTTCATTGACAAGTACCAGCTTCTACTTCCTCAATTCTTGCCTAGGCAAGATGTCTGCTTGGGCCCACCTTTGCCCCCATGCCCACAGACTCAAAAAAGTGTCAGTTATGTAGTTGAGGGATTGAGACAAGCCATCTAATACTGTAAGGGGGTTATTACAATGGCCACCTTTTGACGATATGGCCAAAAGACAAAAAAAGCCTTAGTGGGAGTTAGCCTTTATTTTGTCTTTTACTTAAAATCCATTAAAAGCTGCACGTTCATCTAAAATGTGAAGGTTCTCATGTATCCAGATCATAGAGTATCAAGTAGTAGTTGATCACATTCAATTGGACTTGTTCTCTAATGTGAAAGATGTTTCTCCAGGCCACTTCTTCAGTTCCCATGAGAGAAGACTAAGCAACCTCTCAAAAAACCAATGACCCAATATAAGAGGGCAATATCTACAAGTCAAGCCTTGGTGATTCTTCCTGCAACTTAAGAATAAGAGACATTCTTTGGAGGACAGTGAGGTGCACACTGTGGACAGAGAGAACAACTGGTTAGCAGAACAACCATGTCTGACCAGGGGTGAGGGCTTTCAACACCATCTGTTTTCCACATATAATGTCATTTTAACATCCCTACCCCACCGCTTGACAACAATTTGCGCTATTAGCCATTTGAATTGAAGCATTAACACCTACGTAGACTTCCTGACAGCAAGGATGGGATATGTAACCAGAACAAGGTGCCTCCACAACCTTCACACTTCCAATCCTGTTTTTGGAAATCAACATCTACACATTTAAAGTGGTAATAAACCGAAGACAAAAAAAAGAAGTCCCCTGCAAGGTAATGTCATAATGTGCTAATATGCATGGCATTCTAGCACATTATGTAAAACTTACCTTAAAAAGAAGCCCTCCAGCGGCACACTGTCACCACTGTAGAGGCTTCCATCTTCACCCGTCTTCCTTTCGGGTTCGCGAGGTCCGGCATTCTGACAGACCGGGTCATGATGACATCACTCCTGCGCATGCACGTGGGAGTCCTGGGCCATGGCACACAGCTCTGAAGGAATGGCACAGGTATGCCGTTCATTCAGAACGCATGCGCCGGATTAAATGAAGAAAGAATATCTCCTTAACGGTGCACATTTAGGAAATATTCATTTCACCTACAGGTAAGCTTGAAGCTTACCTGTAGGTAAAATTAAAAAAATAGAGTTTGGAGTCACTTTAATGGTGATTGGATTAAAGTGCCTGTGGTGCTTGGGTAGATATAATTACTGGGGTATCTGACACTCATTAAAATTAGAAAAAAAGTGGCTTGGAAAAGCTACAAAACATCTTTGACCCTACAGAACAAGTGCAGTTGAACATGATATGTTCTGGAACAATTGTAGTGTGTATCCATCACCTCTGTATTGGATTTCAT